AAATCCATCATTTTTAGGCTACTAAAGCCATATTTATCGCATGATAATAGTAACATTAAGATTTTATTAGTGTTCTCCCAATTGCAACCCTCCCTAAATGCATGCTCTAAGGCTGGTCCCGATGACGTGCATTTAGGGAGGTCTGACTGTACTATTTATTGAGGTTCTCCATTAGTCCATTGCCAACTCTGATTTATGGACTGCATTTAGGGGTCTACCTTGAGTTGAAGGAATTATGCAAATGCCTAAATTAAATTCCTAAATTAGGACTTAAATGCCTCAAGTTGGCACGAATATATAAACAATAGATTCTCAAGGTTGTTAAAGAAAATTTGTTGACTTGTATAATATTAGTCCTCGTAATCTTATATTCGTTAACGTGTATTTTATCTTTTTTATCCTACCAATTCATATAAACAGATATACGAAATTACATACGATTAAGAATGAATAAACCAGAATTATTTTCATTCTTAATTGTTTTTTTGCTTTGTATAAGATGTTCGTTTACCAGTGTTATATCGTATAAAGCTCCCAAATCAATCGGAAATTATGGTAAATAATATTGATAATCTAGCAATAATTGACATCATTTTACTTTTATTACTATACAATAACTATAAATTCTTTTGGTTCCTGTAAATTAAGAGTATCCATACGGCGTCTATATTCCAAGTAATTTCACCATTCCGGCTGGAAATGTTTTTAAATTTAAGTTATATTCTGGTGGATATTTTTGGTTCAAATGTAATCGTACTAGTGGTAATTGGGATATTGGTAAGTTGGTATGTACTTATTTGATATTTACTGCGACTTGTAGTGCTTATAATGTTATGTGATTATTAGATCAAGTTCGCAATGTATATTTTAACCACGAAGAAGATCTTTTCCACTACCCATATTTAGCTGTGGCTCTATTGGATTTCAGAGGCATGTAATAATTAAATATAATTATAGTTTGAATATTTTGAACCTGTTAACGGCCAGTTTTGAATAATTTTGAGTGATTGAATATTAATAAAAAAATTTAAAACTCATTGAAAAAAACGAAGTTCGTTAAAATTAATCACAATTCTTTCATTTTCAAAATAATTTAGACGATGGGATTTATGTTAGATCAGCTATCCCAAAATATGATGATTCAACAATGATTGTAACTGTTATTGGTACCGCACCATCGCTTAATCCAAGAGAGAATCGTGATTCTGAAATTATTTTTGTTAATGTAATTGGCATAATTATATTATAATTGCTTCATTTAATACTAATTATTAATGATTAACATTTATATCAAAAATCAACAGAGTACCGCAGGAAACGGGGCATTTTCAGATGTTACCTACCTCATTTTCACAGATGTTAAGGGTGGATTAGCACCACCAAGTAAAGAATGTAGGTTAAAAAAAATAATTGAGAATGATATTAAGCGTTATCATATTTTTATTCACAGTATTTTATTATATATTGTAATTAATAGGTGGAACCATATATCCGGATGGTTATATCTATTCTGAAACATTTACTGCAACTCTCTTATACTATCACGCTAAACCAGAATAGTACACGAAATTCAATTTAACATGTCATGACTAATGCTATATATACTCCTCAATTTTGTGTTATTCGTGATTAAGAAATAACATATGCCATTTTATACTTGGCATACATTTACTGATGATAAACGATATGATAAAAAGTGAAAAAAAGGCGAGAATTTTTAGAAAAAAAGTTTTCAAAGAAAGATTAAAATAATAATAATAATAATAATAATAATAATACGGTCGACTCTCGATATACCGAACTGCATGTTCTGGAAGATTTTGTTCGGTATAGAGTAAATTCGTTATATAATTTAGGTATATAGAACTACCAATAAAATTTGCTCATAAACGAGTTTGTTTCGGAAAATCTCGGAATTTTACCAAAATTTTGACTTGTCTTGCTCGTCCTCAGAATATTTCAGATCTCATGACTTTGCAGGTATGTACGTTCGCAAAGTCATATGATTCGTTATATCGAATTGTATATACATAGTATAGATGCCGAGAAAACGTTTTATCAGCATTATGTATGAGGTTTTATCACATGATAAAACTGATAAACTGATTTTAATATACTAAATTGATAAAATAAAACCGCTAAAACTAGTTATAACTATAGTTAAATATATTAACTAAAATAATTGAACTACCGCTATTATCAATTACATAAAAGTCAAATACGTAAAAGTCAAATTGCATAAAAGTCAAATTGTATAAAAGTCAAATTATTGTAAAACGTCAAAACAAATAATTTAACAATTCTTTACTTATCTCGATATGTCGAATAATATTGATAATAATTCAACTGCTTCTAGCAATTGTTCAGTCTCTTCAATTAAAAAAAAATCCGATGGTCGGCCTCGAGGAGAAATATGGGATGCCTATAATGTCGGTGAAAAAAATGGAAAATACTATTCCATTCAATGCAACTATTGTCCTCAGCATTGGCAAAGAAAGTACCAAGCACAATGGAATTACATTTAGCCAATGAATGTTCTAATTGCCCACAAGATGAACAAAAATATTGCAAGATAAAATTGAAAATCAAGACAATAATTATCAAAGAACTTTAAAAACAAAATGTCAAATATAATATATTTAGTTAATACAAATCATTTAAATTCTTTTTCTACAAGTCATCAAAATTCACTTGATTGTGCTGTATTAAAAGCTTGGGTTGGGTGTGATATTTTTTTTGAAATTATTGATAACCTGTTTATACAAGATCTATTTATACAATTTAGCCTTGCTTATTAACCCACACTGGGCAGACAACATTATCAGGTCAAATTATTGATGAAGAAATAATAAAAGTCAATAAAGAAGTTTTTAAAATTCTTGAAAAAAGTGATAATTTAACTTTAACATTAGATGGGTGGTCTTCTACTCAAGGCTCATCTATATATAATTATATTATTACTATAGTTGATCATAAAGAATATTTAGTAGCACTAAAATTTTATACTAACAGATCAAATACTGGAGAATTTTTAGCATCTGAAATTAATACAATTATAACTTCAATTGGCCTTGAAAAATTTGCTGCAATTATAACAGATTCTGGAAGTAACTGCAAAGTTGCCCACAGAATTATAAATTATGATTATCCACATATTTTAGATCTTAGATGCATCACCCATTTAATTAATTTGATTGCAGAAGATTTTAATAAAATTGCTCAAGTTAAAACATTTATAAAACTTTTAATCATATAACAAGATTTTTTAATAAGTTTCATTTACCTAATCAGTTAATTGATGATGGAGTTCATGCAATGAAAATTAAGAGAGATAGATTACATACTTATACAAAATGAGATGGTGCTCTTTGTAGAATATGACTGATTCACTATTATGCCTATGACCTGTATTTAATTGGATTCAAACTAATTATGAATATACATTAATGAATGAACTTGTAAAGAATACAATTAATAATGAGAGTTTTTTTATAAATTGCCACTATATTAATCAAATTATGCAACCAATTAAAATATGCATTGAAAGACTTGAACTACAATATTGGCAGATTGCTATATTAATATATTAAAACTAGCTGCAGCAATTTATCGACTTCCAGAAGTAAATCCATTTAAATTACAAATAACAAAATTTATAATATTCAATATGAAGAGCTTAACCATGAAGCATATCTTTTAAGTTATTGTTTATATTCATTATATCATGAATATGATCTTAAAGACCAAACATTTCATTTAGCAAGTCTTATAGCTGGTAACTATTGGAAAGCTCTTGGATATGATGAAGCCAAGTGCATTGATTTATTAATTGAATTTCACAAGTTTATTTGTAATGAAGATTCTTACAGAGTAAAGTTTAATTCTCAAAGTGAATCTCCACTTACATGGTGGTTAATGCATAATATAAACTACCAATCATATTTAGAAGATTTGGCAATTAAAATGTTTTTGATTATGCCATCACAAGTAGCATGTAAATGAAATTTCTCCATTTTAAAATGGGTTTATGAAGATCAAAGAAATCAACTTACAATTAAATGTATTAAATCAATGGCCAAATTACAGATGTATTGGCTTTCAGAAATTTGAAAAGAACTTGAATATTATGGAAAAGATTTAACAGAAGAGAAATTATGGGTGCTAATATGACAACAATTCCAATTGATTTGTTTTTAGAAGCTGATATAATTAGCACTAATAATATATTTGACAATTATGAGTCTTATATTATGAATCAAAATATGCCTACTTCTGTTTTAACTTCAACAAGTTCTGATATATTTATAGTTTCTGGAACAAAACTAAATGCTGAAGACATAGCAAATCTTACTTTACCTTTTTTAATTTTAATAATACAGAACCATTTCGTGAAAATTTTAACTTACAATCTAAAACGGCATCAAGCAAAGGCCATAGAAACATAAACTATGAAGTATCAAATATTGTTGATATAGTCTTAGAAATAGAGAGCAATAATAATTAACTTTAGAAAAACTATATAATAAATAATAAATAATAAATATATACACATATTAATTAAAAAGGTGTGGTGACTTAGTGTAGTGGTCTAGTTGTCACCCTCTCCAAGTGGCAGGTCTAGAGTTCAAATCCCATGGACGACAAATTTTGAAAAATAGCCTGTATTATGGTTTACGGTTGTCGATTATCGGTTGGATCTAGAAATCTGTAATCTCGGTTATACTATTTAGTTATGGGAGCTTTGGCGCAATAAATCCGAGGAACTGGAATAACCGAAAACCCATTTGGCAAGTCCCGAGTTTGGGGGTAGTAGTGATCTATGACAGTACCACAGGAGGGCTGAATTCGAACTGGGGCCTGAGATCAGAGAACTGAGCGACCAGGTCCTAATAGCGGAGGACACACCAGCCGAACCGCCGAGTTGTCACACTGGAGGAAAAAGACATATGCTCCGAAAGTATGGACCAAGGGAAGGGCGTCCTTCAGGTACCTAAAGCCTGGGCAGACCAACCCTTCTGGGTTGTCGGCTAGAAGTAAGGGAGGGACCGGTAAAGAATCCGGGTAAGAAGACGGTCTAAATGTGGGATACTGGGGTTGCTAGGAACCAAAACAAGGGCAAGGAGTACGTAATGGGCACCTAGTTAGGAAGGTTGGTGCTTAAGAAACTTCTTTATTGACTTTTATTATTTTTTTATCAAGAATTCGACCTGATAATGTTGCCCGCCCAGGTGGATAATAAGCAGGGTTAAGTTGCATAAACGGGTTATTAATAATTTCAAAAGAAATACTACACCCAACCCAAGCTTTTAATACAGCACGATCAAGTAAATTTTGATGACTTGTAGAAAGAGAATCTAAATGATTTGTATTAACTAAACATGTTGATATTTGATGTTTTGTTTTCAATATTCTTCAATACTTATTGTCTCGATTTTCAATTTTATCTTGCTAATATTTTTGTTTGTCTTGTGGGCAATTAAAACATTCATTGGCTAAAAGTAATTCTATTGTGCTTGATACTTCCTTTTGCCAATGCTGAGGACAATAGTTGCATTGAATGGAATAGTATTTTCCATTTTTTTTTCACTGACATTATAGACATTCCATATTTCTCCTCAAGGTCGACCACCAGATTTTTTTTTAATTGAAGAGACTGAACAATCGCTAGAAGCAGTTGAATTATTATTATTATTTTTTTTTTAATGTTAAAGGTGAGACCATGCTCTTATCTTTATTAAACTTAATGAAAACTTTTTACA